GCAATTCCTGAAAAAAAGTGAAAGACAAGAAATGAATAGCATCCAATCTGGTCCAGTCAAATTATGTGATCATGAGACTGTACAGAACATGAATGTAATTGAGAGTTTAACACATCTGATTTTGCACACTCAACCAAATATTAATGCATTAAATGTTTATCACTTTGAAGTATCTTCCTAAAGAGTTCCCATGGAACAAATATTTCTTCTGAGCCATATAACTCAACTTCAGTGTTGAGACCTGAGTGAGATGTGAGCAGCAACCACTCTGCTGCAGTGCATGGAGCTATCGGTGTCGCTGTGGGACATACGTGGTCACTCCTGCAGCTGCCAGCAGCATTTCTGTGGTGTGGAAATTTTTGTAAACTGCATTTGCAGTTAGGTATTACGGATAGAACATGCATCATGTTATACCAGAACAGTTATACTCAATGAATTCAAAAGACCCCGCAACAGAAGACCCTATTCAAACCTTACAGATCCTTCTGCCTCTTTATGTATTTTTCATAAGCTGCAATACGTAAGAAAGAATAAGCATAAAGTGTCAGAGAAGAGTGATTACAAAGAAAAAGGAAGTGAAGGAGAAGAAAAAAGAGGATTAGAGCAGTGAGTTTACAAAAAATACTTATGTAAAGGGGTAGGAAAAGCAGAAGGAATACTATTTTGTTTACTAAGTCACACATAAACATCAAATGCCAGACAGACAACTTCTAGTCTTGAATTTGTCAGACTGAGCAGATGACTTTGGGCAATGCTCTTAATTCCCTTTTGTATTTATTCCGTCTTTAACACAGAGGGTGAAGAAAGCCTCGCAAGCTCTTTAAAAGGAAAGTATTTCTAGAAACAAAGGTAAATAAAAAAAGACAAATTAAGTACTAAGATTTATATATTTATTTTTGTCGATTGCTATGCTATGTGGAGTGATGGCTCACACTTATGTGCTCCTAGTCCTAAACTGGAGAAAGGAAATAGCTTTAAACAAAGAACAATGTAACATCTTTTACCAGTGTAATAACATATTTTCCTGTGAGAGCAAATGATATTTCTATTAGTTCAAATAAGGAACACTGAGATATTCCTAGTTATGACAGCTTCTGATAAGAAACAAACAGTGTAATCTTGTTAATTGAGAGATGAATGCACTGCCTGAAAAATCCATGTCAGATCTGTAGATCTAGGATTATTTTGATTTATGTCACTTATCCTCAGCCAAAATCAGCTCTCCACCATAACTAAGCATGTGCAAGCATGGAGTAAGAAACAATTCTGTTTGATCAGTGCAGACAGTAAAACAGATGTCATGGAGACAAAAGTATGAAATTTGTTCCTGGTCGCAGAGGCTATCACCGATAGGAATTAGAGCACAGGTCTCTGTAAGAGACCTTTCAAACCAAAGCCTTCAGGGAGTGGGAGGAACAGGGAAATAAATCTAGTATCTCCACCCTTTGTCAAGCAAGGAGCAATCCATTAAGTGAGGTGGCATGTCCCTGCCTGTCATGTATTTGGGTGTGGGGACATTCTAAAACATCTCTCCCTACTTCCCAGAAAGTCTGTAGTCAGATTGTATACTGTCTCTGTGGTCCCCAGCGCGTTTACTACACTGCTTGAGTTTTTATGTGAGGCCTTCTGGTATCGTATAAGTGCATGCAAAAGAGCAGTGGATTTACTTGTATTTGAAGAACAATAGAGAAAACATCAGAGAATTGTTCAGGTATTCATTGATAAAACACTATAGTTAATCAATATAAAAATGTAACAGAAGCATTTCATTAATTCCTTTTCCAAGCATACATTGGTATGTAGTCTACATCATTCCAGACCTGCCTGAGGAAGAATAATGCAGCCTTCTCCCCGAGATGGGTGGGAGTGTGAAAGGACAATGCAGTATTTTAAAATCTAGAAAAAGCAGCTGTGGCTTCTTTCTATTCTACATGCAGTATCTGTTCAGACAAAAAGCTAGGCACATTTTGAGTGAACTGAAAAAGAGAACCAAAACAACGTCCCTCTATATATTTGAATTTCTACAATTCAGATCTTGCTGGGTTTTTTACTTTTATTTTCTTCTGTGAAGCTTAATAAATAATGAATGACAAAATGTGCTCCTAAATTCATCTAAGTCTGTGTCTCATTAACATGTAAAACAATTTTTCTACCTTTTCCTCAGATGAGAAAGATATTCAAAATATGCTCATTTTGCGTAGAATGCACTTCCCTTTTTTACAGGAAATGCCAGCAACTCAAACTTGCCAGTCCTTAGTCTGAAGCCATGAAGAATCAGAGTCCCATTTCCTGACTGCATTTAAAGGTTGTGATACTAGAGTAGAATTAAGGGTCCTCTGGAAAAAATTGTCCGATTTATTCTTTGTAAGTTCAAAATGAGATAGTGGCCTATTTTTAGAGAAATACATGATACTCGTCACTGAACAAACTCCAGTTTCACGATACTGTTTGAAAGAAACATGGCTTGAAAAGGCAACCTTCTTTCACCAAATTATGTATGAGTAGAGCCAGGAATGACCTCTTGAATTTACCTAGGTTGACCCTCTGTATTTTCCTCTGGTCTTTCCAACAACATTGCCAGTAATACCATATCTTTTCCGTTCTTGGAGGTCTGTAGTAATGGTATCTTAAGGACATTCATTAAAAAAATCTGTGATGCTGGCCAATTACTCTTATCAGAAATATTAGTTCAAACTTTTCTTTCTTTAGCTTGGATCTTTCCTGTGAGACTCTACAAGACAGTGAACACTTCTGCTCTTAAACAGTTTAAGTCTAAATTTATATACAGCCAACATCATTTACCTCCAAGACCGATCTTTTTGTGACTGATAAATCTGGCTTTACTGTGTTTATCAGGAGATTTCTCTTGTTCCATGAAAGAGATTTAATATTGGAACTGTAAAGTATGCCCCATGGCTTTATGTCAAGTTATTGCTGACGTGTCCATTCTACCAACTATAATTAAAAAAAATCTTTCTAACCTTTCATTAAACTCTTATAAAAGAGAGGAAAATAATTAAATAGTTTGAAAGAAAAATGTGAGCCTTATTTAAACCATCTCTTATATTCTTTTTTCCTCCAGCTGTATATAATTTATTTTGTTACAGAAAATTTCTGCTTGACAGTCTTTTAAAATTGCATTAATAATGTATTATATTTTCCTTCTGGAGAATAAAAAGGAGGGAAATTTCATCTTGAACTCTTTTTCCTGAGTCCAGTGCTCCCTCCTTTAAAAAGAATATAAACTGACAGAAAGAAGAAACAGAGAATAATAAATACGATTCTGCCTTTTGATCTCTCTTGCTTGCAATTTTACTGCTGGGACATTACACCTCCAGCACATGGTCTTATAAACAACTCCAAACCTGTAAATTATTTACAAGCTTCATGCTGTCTAAGCTGTTTTTTCTTCAATATCCCTAAGAATACTGCAGTAAGTGGGTTCTTCTTTCCCACCTAATCAACACCCTTTTTAGACAAAAGACAAACCCCAAAAGACAAAAAAGGAGAAATAGTGAAATGTAGGAAAGAGAATGGAGAAACAAACTGAAAGCTCAGAAATTTGTCTGCATAACAAACAATGTTGTATGATGGATAAAGCTGTATTAAGAGCTTTGGCAATTTTAAACATATTTATATGCTTTGCATGACAGGTTCTCCATCCCATGCTTTATCTGCTGTCAGTTTTCATTTTGCTTTATTTGGATCTATGTTTATGTCCATTGATTTCATTATTTCTAGCTGATAATATTTTCTCTTTGTGCATGGACTTCTGACCAAAAATTTAAATGTTCCATAAACACAAAATTTGATGGAAGAACACATTTGTAATTTTGAAATAGCATGCAGATACTCTAAAGCTAATTCTACCAAAAATCCCACAAGCTAAACTCACAGTGGCTTTTCATAGTTGTCGTGGTTCAAGTAAGGTACGACACGCTGAAACTCTGAGA